CAAGTACAGATGATCATTAGCAGAGAGGTCTGACTGCACAATAAATGTAACGTGCTTGCATCATCCTAAAACCAACCCCTTTGCTCAGGTCTGTGGAAAAATTGTCTTCCATGAAACTGGTCGCAGTGCCAAAAAGGTTGGGGACCACTGGTCTATGCCACTGCTCCCCTACCCCTGGCTGTGTTGCTGAGTTCATCAGAACTCAAGGCCGTCCTCTCACAGGGGAACACAGCAGAGAGCAGAATACTGCGGGTGCCCATGGAGGAAACATTTAGACCAGTCTGGCCAGAGGGAAATCCTCCACGCCAAAACCCGAGTTCTGGCTAGCCCCACCGCCAGCTGACAAAAAGCAGTCTGGGGCCTGGAATGAATTCACAAGGTAGCTAAGGGCTATTCCTGCAGCTGTGCTGGCTCAGAGCCAGTGGACTTAAGGTGCAGGTGACCCAGTGAGACACCAAGGATGGCAGCCAAGCCAGTGCCTGTGTCACCTCCTCCCCCAAATCCAGGCAGTGTAGCTCAAGGAGAGTCGTCTCCACTTGGCAAAAGAAAAGACAAGAGCTCAGAGGACTTTGTTTTAAAACTTGGGTACCCCCACAGCTACAGCAAAATAAAATACCAAGCAAACTCCCAATGCCCCTGATTCCAGGACTTAGTTGCTGGAGGGCATTTCTAGACCCACCCTAAGCCAGAAGGAAATAGGCTGCTCTGAATGGAAAGACCCAGTCCTGGCAGGATTCACCACCTGCTGACTAAAGAACCCTTGGGCACCGAATAAACCTCAGAGGTAGCCAAGCAATAGTCACCACAGGCGTTGGGTGAGACTGGGCTGACTTCAGGTGTGACCTGACCCAGTCCTAGCAGCAGGGGCGATGAAGGAGTAACCACATCCCTCCTCCCCCAACTCTGGCAGCCCAGCACACCAAGGGGGTGGGAAGAGAGTGAGAGACGTTCACTGGTAATCCAAGGCATTCTGCCATACCTTACCCAAGTCCACCAAAGTGACACTATTAGGAGTCTGCAAGAGTCACAGCATTACTGGAGTTGGGGCATCCTCAGTGCTGAAACGGCTGCAGCGACCAAAGACTTAGATCACAATACTCAATTCCCTTAGACTATCTGGAAAGCTGTCTCAAGAAGGACAGGTTCAAACAAACCGACACTGTGAAGATTAAAATAAACACCTAACTCTTCGATGCCTAGACATGGAAAACACCTACAAGCATCAAGAACATCCAGGAAAATATCAACCAACTAAACAAACTAAATAAGGTACCAGTGACCAACCCCAGAGTGATAGAGATAACCTTCAAAACAGAGAATTCAAAATAGCTGTTCTGAAGCAGCTCAATGAACTTCAAGATAACAGAGAGAAGGAATTCAGAAGCTTCTCACAGAAATTTAATAGAGAGATTGAAATAATAATAAAAAAAATGAAGCAGAAATTCTGGAGCTGAAAAATTCAATTAACAAACTGAGAAATGCATCAGAATTTCTCAATTAGTAGAATTCATTAAGCAAAAGAAAGAATTAGTGAGCTTAAAGATAGGCTATTTGAAAATACACAGTCAGAAGAGAAAAAGAAAAAAGAATAAAAAAGAATGAAGCATGCCTAAAAGATCTAGAAAATAGCCTCAAAAGGGCAAATATAAGAGTTACTGGCTTAAAAGAGCGGAGGAGAGGAAGAGGAGAGGAGAGAGAGAGAGGAGAGAGGAGAGGGAGAACAGGGAGGGGAGAGGGGAAGGAGGGGAGAGGGAGGGGGGAGAGGGGAGAGGGAGGGGGAGAGGGGAGGAGGGGGAGAGGGGAGAGGGGGGAAGGGGGAGAGGGAGAGAGAGGGAGAGAGAGGGAGAGAGAGGGAGAGAGGGAGAGAGAGGAGAGAGAGGGAGAAGAGGGGAGAGAGGGAGAGAGAGGAGAGAGGAGAGAGAGGAGAGAGAGAGGAGAGAGGAGAGAGAGAGAGGGGGAGAGAGATTATACAAAAAAACAAAAAATAAATAATAAAAAAAAAAGTTTATTCAAAGAAATAATAACAGAGAACTTTCCAAATCTAGAAAAAGATATTTACATTCAGGTACAAGAAGGTCACAGAACACCAGGCAAATTTAACCCAATCAAGACTACCTCGAGGTATTTAGTAAGCTCCCAAAGGACACAGATAAAGTTCCCCCACGAAAAGCAAGAAAAAAAAAAAAAAACGTATAAAGGAGCTCTAATACATGTGGCTGTAGACGTCTCAGTGTAAACCTTATAGGCTAGAAGAGAGTCATATGACATATTCCAAGTGCTGAAGGAAGAAAACCTTAATCCTAGATTATTATATCCTACAAAAATATTTTTCAAACATGATGGAGAAATAAAGAGTTTTCTAGACAAACAAAAACTGAACTAGACCTGTCCTACAAGAAATACTAATAGGACCTCTTCACTTAGAAAGAAAAGTATATTAACGAATAGTAAGAAATCAACCAAAGGTATAAAACTCACTGGTAACAGTAAGGACACAAATACAGAATACTCTTTTGCTGTAATTGCTGTGTATAAACCACTTATATCTTGAGTAGGAAGATTAAAAGATAAACCTATCAAGAATAATTACAAGAACTTTTTGAGAGACAGAGATAGTATAAAAAGAAAAAAATACAAAAAAAATAGATAAAAAAAACATAAATATAATCTGGAAATAACTCTAAATATTTGAATATTAATCAACACACTTCTAAATAACCCATGGGGAAGAATATTAGAAAACATTATGAACTGAATGAAATGGACAACACAATATATCAAATTTGTAGAACATAGCTAAAACAGGATTTCCATAAAAATTTATCACATTAAAAAGTTATGCTGGAAAAAAAAAAAAGATATAGATGGGGCCAGGCGCAGTGGCTCACACCTGTAATCCTAGCACTCTGGGAGGCCGAAGTGGGCAGATGGCTCAAGGTCCAGAGTTCGAGACCAGCCTGAGCAAGAGTGAGACCCCATCTCTACTAAAAATAGATTAACTGGGCCCACTAAAAATATATAGAAAAAATTAGCTGGGCATGGTGGCACATGCCTGTAGTCCCAGCTACTCGGGAAGCTGAGGCAGAAGGATCGCTTGAGCCCAAGAGTTGGAGGTTGCTGTGAGCTAGGCTGATGCCATGGCACTCTAGCCTGGGCAACAGAGTGAGACATTGTCTCAAAAAAGGAAAAAAAAAGATATAGACAGAAACAATAAAAAATTATAAATTGGGGCAGGGATAGAGTTAAATGCAGAATTTCGTTTAGATTTCTCTTAGTTTGTTTATTTGCTTGTTTGTAAGCAAAACTATCACATGCTTAAAATAATTGGTTATAAAATGATTTTTGCAAGCCTCTTGGTAATCTCAAATCAGAAAACCTACAACAGATACACACAAAAAAATAAAAGAAATCATTTAATAAAACACACTACCAGAGAAAATCAACCACAGCAAAGGAAGATAGGAAGGAAGAAAAGATCACAACAACCAGAAATCAAACAACAACATGGCAGAAGTCCTTATCTATCAATAACAACACTGAATGTGAATGGACCTAATCTCTGCAATTGAAAGACAGTGTGGGTAAATGGATAAAAAAACTAAGATCCAACTATATGCCATCTATTGATTTTTACTCCCTTATAAACAGAGCTAGAAATATCCTTTGTCTTTTAGTGGTTCGTGGTGAGAGAATTACCCTTGAATGGCAGCTTTCCACTAATCAGCTTTATAACATTTATGAATTAACTGTAATCACTGGAGTTGAAGTGCCTTCTTTTCCCTAAAGTTCTAGATAGAACTTCAAGCACAAAATAAATCACTTCTCTTTAGAACTTAATCAGTAATTAAGGCAGTACAGAACTCAGACTGCTCAGTATACACTCTGTTTTAACTATACTCTATTTCAATGGGAAAAGTCCCTTACAGTGACTTCTAAAAGTTTAGAAATTTATACTAGTAGATTACAACAATGTGAATGTACGTAATGGCCAGTAACCTTTACACTTAAAAATGGCTAAAATGGTGTATTCTATGTTATGTATATTTTACAATGAAAATTTAGAAACCATACTAATTAGTAGAACCTCTAATAAATACATACCGCTTATTGATATTTTGATTGGCTACTAGAGCAGGTTACCAGTAATTCCAGATCAAGCCCAATTTATAAGTCAGTAATGAGGTATGGATCTGTGTTTAACACCTATTAAATAAATGTTCTATTTGCAAATCCATTTCACCTCTTTTAGAACCTAGAGTTTCAAAATTATTGAGTAATCTTCTACTTACGCCTTCATTTTTCACATGTAGATCACCAACCAAAGGTTTATGGACAGATAGGAGTAAAAAGAACAAATACAGACTTTTTACTGTCACAGAGCTCCTACAGAGTAAGATAAAAAATAAGTCAAGCCTGTGAGAGACTGAAGTCCCTGAATTGCAAGATCATGCTTCATATATCAACAACAAAAGAGCATTAAGGAATAAGAGGGAAAATAAAATATAAAGCTTTGCAGAAGTTCTTGTGGTCAGTGATATAACACCTACCAAAGCAGACTAGTTTATTTCTATACTACTTTATTTGTAGAAAATGAATAAATGAAACTGAGGTTACATTTTTCTGTCACTGACATATTCTACTCATAATTTTCCACCTAACAGCAATAACTTTAACTCAATCACTATTAAAAAATTACTCATCATATTATGTTCCTTCCCTTTCTGTTAATCAGATTTCAGATTACAGATTTTTTTAAATGCCCTTTTTAATGGAAATAAAACTTATTTCGAGAATTTTAATAATGTTATTTGAATTACTGCAAATTATGGTTTCGTAAAAAGGCATATCTGCTTCCTTCAAATTTGCTATGAAAAAAAGGCCCAAGAACAAGATGAAAATTCTCCAACATAATCAGGTTGATTTTTCAGATTGAAATATGCTTCTATATCCCAGTGATTTCAGACAGTAATAAATGGTAAAGCAAAATTTCACTAACTTACTGAAAGCAATTTGGCCCAAACACAGTGGCAAGGTTGTGAACGTTCATGCGATTCTGCACGTGATGCTTGGCTACTTCTGTCAAGAACTGGCAAAGGTACTTGAGGAGGCAGTAGTGGGTGTCTGGCAGCTCTTTTATTAAGTCTCTTAAGCTGTTCTCTCGAGCGTCATTTCTGCCATCTGGAAAAAAATAAAAAATGTTCTCAGGCATAATGCAGTAACAACAACAAAGCATGTAGGTGTAACAAATTCTAACATATTATTCAGGAAAAAATCCCTTAGAGACTGAGATAGGCCTTGAATATTTGATTTTCTTTTTATGTTAAAGAATTACTTATTCAAGAAATTCAGAAACCCACAAGCTATATTCAGTGGGAAAAATTGTGTTTCAATTTTTTGTCTTCCTCCCCCAAATTAAGATAATGGTTAGGTTTTCAATCCATAGTGGAATCTTCCATTTGATTTTTGTCTTCAAGTTTGCCAAAAACAAGACTCTCTTGGTTGAATAAAACTTGATACAAGAGATCTTCCTGGGTCACCATGAGGGACATGATTAGGATATTGTGCCCAGAGAAAACTGAAGGAAACTTTTAAAGTTTTTATACAGCTTTTTAATCTTGACAAACTACCTCTGAGCTATTTTTTAACGAGCCCCTGTGTTGGGCATGTTCTCAAGAGACTTTTAGTAAGAATATTGCTAAGTCAGTTTAGCCAAAATTCCCCACCCTTGATATCTGATCACCTTTGATATCTGACCAAATTCCTCATTTCCGACCATCCTCCAGGTGTTGTCTGATCCCCTTGGTCTGCCTTCAGCCAGAGTCCTGGGAGGTCAGTTTAACAACAATGCCTCCTGATGTTTCTTCTTAGTAATTTTCCATACACTCAGTATTGCCCACCCTAACCCTGCTACTTGGCTATAAAATTCCCCTTTTCCTTGTGTTGCAAGTTGAGTCCAATCTCTCTCCCCCACTGCAAAACCCCAATGCAGTACTCCCTATACCTATCATAATAGTCTCGAATAAAGATATGCCGTTCTTTAACAACTGTCAGAAGGAATAACTTTTTAAAAACAATATCTAACATGTCATATAGTTCAGAATTTGATGTGTGACTCTCATAAAAAAAAGCCTGATAATCTTGCATGCATCTCAAAATGTCTAACAAAGCACCAAAATTCATAGGCATACATATGAATCATTTCTCTTAATTCTCAAAGATTCACTTTGCCAATATTTAAACATATTAACAGTAAAGCTGCTAACTTATGTAACTTTGTGCACTGCTTTCTATCAGAGGAAAATACAAATCTTTTCTAACAAATACAGTAATTTAGGGACATAATCACAATCCATCCTTTTAACAGATGTCTAAGAATGAAAATTTAATACAGGTATAATTAATAAATACACAGGATGGACATCTTTGTTAAGTCAGCTTTAGTCAGTCAAATGAGTAAGAAACAGAAAAGTGAGGCAAATGAGATACAAAGGAAGAGGATAAGTCAATGTTATAAAACACTTGGTTAACATAATGCCACGGGGCAGGAAGCAAAAACAGAAAACATACAGAAAGTTATATACAATGACACGGAGTGGCTGCAGAGCTCAGGGTCAGAATGAAGGCTTGGGAGTCATTTCCTGGGTGAGGAACATGTGTGACCTAAGTGGTGCTGCTTATGATAACATTGTTTTCCACTGCACTAAAATCTTAACCACCAGGGATATGTAAGAAATGGAAATAATTAAGTTGGAGTGATTAAAAATTAACTGGAGTTACCCGTTTCTCATGCCATTATAAAAATAAACAAATATACACCAAGAGAAAACGTAATCTTAGTTTGCCTTTTTCCCTTTTTATGGTGACTAATTCAAAGTGAGTCTAGATGTTTTCAAGGGCATGTGCTCTCTATTTAAAATTATGGTCTAATTCCCACATTTAAAGATATAAGCAATAACAGCATTCCAACAGCCTTGATTAATGGGCCTCTGGCCTCCTGGCTCAAACTGTCAGGCAGGCAATGTGTGAGGACACTGTATCAAATAAAACAAATATTCAATATAATTATTCAATATAATTATGAATTTATGACAGTAACATCTTTAAAAAAAAGCAGTTTCATCATTTACTTCAAATTTTTGGAACATGATAAATCATTTTTCCAGGAAATAAAATTGACAAAAAATGGGAAGGGAGACATACATTCAAAGAGTTTCATGCTTAACAAAATAAAATGAAATCCCTTATGGCATGAATGAAAGAATAAATATATTCTCAAAAGGCAAAAGTAATTGAGAAGGAAATATCTTATACCTACTCCCATCCAGAACTATTGCTGTTTCCTATGATGGAAGATGATTCTACAGACCCACCCGCTGGGCGAGAATGTGAGTCTCCTCTACATTAGCAGCTTTGACAGCAGCACACCTATATTTGAACCTTAAATATTTATAATTTACTTCCTGAATCCTTGTTCAAATATACTGACATTAAAGACCACAATTTATTATCATGACATTTCCCCTCACCTCTTTTCATACTGATTACGTGCTAACATTCTGAGAATCTGTAATTTGTACTGTTTCCAGAAATATGTGGTAAGTATCACTCTCACCGCCAGCCTGCAGCAACCTTACAAACAAGATTTCCTACGTGTGACAATAACTGCTCAGCACCTTCAGAGGAGGCTTCTAGAAGGATGCCTAGGGCAGCATGCCCGGGAGCAGTGCTGGCACACATGTGCCTATTAAGAAGAAGCTTTCTGACACTTGTGAGAAACGAAGTTCATAATAATTACTTTATCACTGCTTGCATTATTTTTTGATTTGCTGATACCTAAAAATAACAAACACTGCCTTATTCATTCATACATGCTGTTTGTGGATTTATATTGTTAATTACAATGGCTTCCTAAAGGTCTCATATTATAAAAAAAAAAGTTAGCAATGCTTATACTTTTGGGTCCATGTATTCAAAATGTATATTTATTGTACAAATGTGTGCTATCATGCTTTCATGAAACCTATGAAACATTCTAATCGAGGGGGAGACAGGCAATAATCAATTAAAAATAAATATGTGAAATGGTAACAGGTGCTATGAAGAAATAAAAAGCAGGGTTAAGTGGAATAAAGCAGAGTGATGTGGGGGTGGGAAATGTTATTTCACTCATCATGGTTGGGGGAGGGCCCTGATATAATGACAACTGAAGGAAATGGAGAAGTGTGTTCTAGTCAGAGGAAACAGCCAGTGCCAAGGCCCTGAGGCAGAGGTCTGGGACCTGGTGCCAACTGGTGGTGGGTGGAGAAGATAGCCAGAGATGAAATCAGGAGACAATGCAGAAGGGGAAAGGGCAGATCTGTCTTATCATAAGCCATGGTCTTTTATTTCCCCCCAGAGTGAGGGTTTTGAGCTGTGAGGAGACATGGTCTGACCTAAGAGGACCACTCTGGCTTCGGTGCTAAGCCTAGACTGTAGGAGGCACAGGTGAAAGCATGGAGACTAGTTAAGACACTATTGCAACCGTCCAGAAGAGAAAGGCTGGTGGCCTGCACTAGGCTGGCACTGGAGAGATGGTAACACAAGGCTGGATTCTGGATATAGGTTGAATGCTCTTGCTTGTTTCACATATGAAAGTTGTTTGCCTTATATATGGAAAATACATGTGTGAAATATTCATTCATTTAGCAAAAATTATTGGGTGACTACTCTGCTAAGCATCTCTTTAAGCATTTGAAATCCATCAATAAACAAAAACTGAAATCTCTATCCTTATAGAGCTTATATTCTAGTGAGTGAAACATTAAACAAAAAATAGAGTAACAGGGCTGCAGGAATTGGGAGTACTTAAACCGGGGTAAGGGCTGGTGATTGCAATTATAAATAAGATTGTCAAGAAAGCCTCAGGTGGGACGCAATGGCTCACACCTGTAATCCTAGCACTCTGGTGGGTCAAGGTGGGATGATTGCTTGAGCTCAGGAGATCCAGACCAGCCTTAGCAAGAGTGAGATTCCTGTCTCTACTAAAAATTGAAAAATTAGCTGAGAATCGTGGCCTGTGCCTGTAGTCTCAGCTACTCAGGAGGCTGAGGCAGGAGGATCACTTGAGTCCAGGAGTTTGAGGCTGCAGTGAGCTACAATGACACCACTGCACTCAAGACAGAGTAAGATTCTGTCTCAAAAAAACCCAAAGAAACAAAGAAAGTCTCATTGAAATGTATTTGATGTCCATAGTTAAAGTAAAAAAATCCACAAACTGACAAACTCTTTCAGAGTTGGAAGTTTTAACCATCTTTTAAATACTCTTTATGCCTTGCATATAAAAAGTGATCAAGAAATCATTTTAATAGAATGATATATATTTTAAAGACATACAGTATAACAAACTAGCATAGAAGTGAAATATATGTATATTTTAAAGTGAAATCAAGTATATTTTAAAGAAATACGGAAGAATTTAGTCCATTTAGTCCACAGAAATGTCAGAGTTAGAGTATTATTACATAGGAGTAAGATTACAGACAATATTTAAAGGAGAGGCTCATTTGGTGGTCACAGGGTAAGGATACTCAGCAATGAAATTCCACAGAAGGGGCTTAGTAATAGAAGTGAAATGTACCTCTGCATATTATATAAAAGTGGTTTTTAACTGTTTTAAACTTGTACTTCTAGAATTGTAATAAAAATTATAATAATTCATGAGTCCTAAATGTTTTAAGAAAATTTTGCAGATGGGAATAATGGTTCAAAATTGAAACAGTCACCATTTTCTTTAACATCAATCTTTTCCTAGGATAAGAACTCCCTTTTCTCCATTAGTGAAAAGTATCACTTCAAATTATTCAAGTTTTCTTGAGAGCTTTCATTTCTTGTTGACTAAATCTGACCCACACCTCAAGCTAAAATGCAAACATTCAACTAGCATAGTATACATAGTGTACAGAGAAATCAGCACTTGGAAGACTGTACCATACTTTTGTTCCAGGTTAAGTAGCAAACACTGAACCATGTGACAAATATTTGCTCTCCTTAAAAAAAAAGATTATGATCATAATCAGCAATGCTGCACCTGTATCATAGGATATATCACAGGATGGCACCTGACTCTAATCTTGACATTTCTCCTAGTGTGTGTTTGTCAGGTGCCTGGACTTTTCAATGGAAAATAAGTTATACTGTAC